ATGATGGCAGTTTTAATGTTTGTAGCTATGGTATATTCAGAAGCCGCAATTACTTTACCAATTGTTGTCACTTCAATTGCACTGTTCAATTCTATAAGAATTCCAATAAGAACAGTTGGTATTGGTATGGCTAATATCACTTGTTTGAATGTTTCTTTAAAGAGAATCAACAAATTCTTGACAACTCCGGAATTGGTCCCAATCACTTCGACTGCAAGTAAAAGTGAATATGCAGTTGAAATGAGTCGAGTCAATTACAGTTTCCCTAATAACGAGACTGCATTTGCCTGTGATGAATTAAAGATCAAGAAAGGTGAATTAGTCTGTGTTCTTGGTAGTGTAGGAGGTGGTAAGAGTTCATTCTTATTGTCACTTCTAAATGAGTTGGAAAAGACACAAGGAGACACTGTAATCAATGGAAAGATCACTTACACAAGCCAGACGCCTTGGATGATGAATGCGTCAGTCAGAGAGAACATCTGCTTCTTGACTTCTTATGATAAGAAACAGTATCAGAGTGCAGTATATGATGCTTGTTTAGCAACTGACATCGATTCTTTAGTAGGAGGTGATGCTTATGTCATCGCAGAGAAAGGTGCCAACTTATCTGGAGGGCAACGACAACGAGTGAATATCGCGCGTGCTTTATACGACCCCAAAGACATCATTTTACTCGACGATCCCCTCAGTGCAGTTGATTTCAAAGTTGGGACTTATATCTTTGAAAATGCCATTCAAAAGCATTTAGCAAAGAAGACCAGAATTGTAGTAACCAACCAGACGTACTTCTTAGAGAAGGCAGACAGGATTCTTGTTATTGACAAGAACCAAATGGTATTTAATGGGTCGTTAGAAGAGCTCAAGAAGTCGAATATCCCAGCGTCCCAATTTGTGAAGACACTGAGTAAGAAGATTCAAAAAGAAGAAGAACAAGAAGAAGAAATTATCACTTCGGACGCTTCAGGTACTAAAACAAGAGAAGAGACAAGAGAAATAGGAAGAGTACCATTACATGTGTATTGGCAATATATCAAGTCTGGTTCCCTCTTGATGTTCTTCATAATGTGGTTGTGCTTGGCGGGTAGAATTTGTGCACTTTACTACTACAACACTTATCTCACTAAGTGGGGGAAGTCTATTCGACCACTGAAAGGCGCTCCACAAGGCGACAAAGGACTTTTCAACATCTTTGCTTATTCATTTGTTGGAGACATAGCCGGTATCTTCTTGACTGAAGAAGCAATCATTCTTTTCTGTTTAATAGTGTCTGTACGACTTCACAAAAATTTGATTCACAAGTTGTTAAAGTGCAAGTTGGGATTCTTCGATGTGACGCCAATGGGGAGAATTATCAATTACTTCTCAAGAGATTTCCAGAACGTCGACTTCACTATACCACCAACCAGTGAACCTTTAATTGTTAATATAACTACTATCGTTATAGTAGCTATCACTATTTGTAAGGCATCTATCTACTTGGTTATATTAGTGTTGGTCATTGCCATCATCTTTGTTTGTCTTTACATCTTTGTTTCCAAACCAATCATCGAGTTACAGAGACTTGAAGGTATCACAAGAGCTCCTATCTTTGTTCACTACGATCAGACTTTACTTGGCCTTTCCACTATAAGATCTTCAAATGGACAAGAACAGTTCAAAGATAAACTTATAGAGAAGATTAAGAATAACACAACGTCTCTCTACCTTACTAAAATGGCTAAATACTGGTTTGTTGAAACTTCTAATACTTTGTAATTCAATAACAAATAGGATGCTCCAAAGAATGGATTGGTTGGGAGTCTTCATTTGTTTTGTAACAGTCACGGTATTGGTCATTACCAAGTTGCAAAAGTCAATGGAACCTTCCCTTGCAGGTACTGCTCTGACAAACATATGTAATATTCCATCAACCGTCAATGTCTTTGCTATGTCCATCATTGAAATTGAGACAAACATGCAGTCAACAGAAAGAGTCTTGCAGCTCAAGAAATTGAGAGCTGAAGAGTCTGAAAATGTCAAAGAAAAATACCACAACCCGCCATCTTCATGGCCATCAACGGGTTCTGTTGAATTCTCTGATTTCAAATTTAGATATCGAAGAGGTCTTCCAATGGTTTTAAAGGGAATTAATGCGACTATATTACCAAAGGAGAAAATTGGTGTTGTTGGACGAACGGGGAGTGGGAAGTCCACCTTGATGGCTGGACTCTTTAGAATAGAAGAAGCGTACTCCGGTAAAATAAAAGTTGATGGAATAGACATCTCTACAATTCCTCTTGATATCTTAAGAAAGCAGATGTGTATATTACCACAGGAAGCCACACTATTTAGTGGTACTGTAAGAGACAATTTGGATCCATGGAACCAAATGGACGATGACAAATTACGAAAAGTACTTTTAATGGTCGAATCAACAAATCAACTTGATGATGTTGTGACAGAAGGTGGTGACAACTTCTCTTTGGGTCAAAGACAATTAGTTTGTTTAGCTCGTGCTCTATTGAAAGGTTCTAAGATCTTAATTATGGATGAAGCAACTGCTAATATAGATATCCAGACAGATAAGAACATTCAAGAGATGGTCAGAAGGAACTTTGATGACATTACTGTGATCACAGTAGCACATAGATTACAGACTATTATGGACTCAAATAAAGTGATGGTCTTTGATAAAGGAAAATTAAAAGAAATGGACACTCCACTTAATTTAATTAAAGAGAAAGACACACTCTTTAACGGACTTGTACAACAATCCGGATGTGCAGAGGAGTTACGTAGACTTGCTCAAAAGAATGAACCAAACGCTTCATTGTCACCTTCACCAACTATGTCACCGGCTGAAGGAGACACTTCAACATCTTTAAGCCCTAAGATTGAAGTCAATTTACTGACTAATGACTCAACGAGAGCTTCACCTATTCAATTCCAAGAAACTGTCGAAAGAAATCAGTCCGAACAAAAACTAATCCCAAGTCCATCTTTAGATAAATCGACAGATTCAACGTCGCCAACAGAATGAGGTTTTTTGTTATTTAACTTGATAGTTATTTTATTATTTTTTTATAGTTATTAATAGATATTAGTAAATAAATTATTTTAATATTAATTATAGTTTTAAAATTTTAATAATTTTTAATTAATTTAAGTAAAACTATATTTAAAATAGTAAATAGAGATATTCATTAAATACTATTAATTTATTATAAATATATTATATATTAACTACTTCAAGTTCAAAAATAAAAACACAGAAAAGTTAATTAAAACGTAAAATAACTCGAGTTGATAAACACAAGTTGAACGAAAAAATGAATTTGAATAACACGTTAAAAAATAAAAAACGTTACACCATGACACAATTTGATGATGTAAAATGTCATTGATTGAAACACATTTGTGGGATGTCATATTCGATAGTTGTTGCTCACAAGCGCCATACCCAAACACATTCACCTGGGGAAACACCAGGGACTGTATTGTAAGTCGTAGGGTTCGCTTTTATAGTGTTTTTCTTGACGTCTATTTCATTTTGTGAGGCGATATGTATGGCAATGTGACTTTGCCTATATGTGTATTTTATAATTACAAAACTATATATTAACTATATTGTATCTTAATGTTATTAGTTGTTTGCAAACAATATAAAATGAAGTGGACATGTGGAACATCGTCATTCCAAAAACCTCATCACATTCAAATATTTTAAGGTGTTTAAAACATACAAATCGGGTTATATGCGAAAAAGTTGTTATAAAAATTAACACAAAACTGTTGTTTAACAAGTTAACTATTGCCAAACTATTTGTTTGTATAGGTTTAAATAATAAATTTTTAATTATTTATTTTAATGTGATGTGTTTATAAAAACAATAATAACTTGATAAAAATAGGATATGTGGAAATAACAAAAAAATGACAAAATTATTTTAGAAATACAGGTTGTTATTTTACCTCATTTAAATTTCATCACTTTGTTTTTTTTCAAAAGACTCAAAATATTTTGTTAAGTGATTTTAGACTAAAATTTTGTTAACAAAAGAAACTAAATTTGTAGACTTTGTTTTGAATTTGGACTATGAATAATTTAAGTCAAAATTAATATTCTTAGTTACCATTTCATTTTTTCTTATATCTGTCAGATAATAATAATAGACAATAAAAAACATAATACTGAACGAGTGATGAATTAGAATGCATCTTATTTCTTCTCTTCCTTCTTCTCAGTGGCAGCAGCCTTTGGTGCGGCTTCCTTTGGTGCAGCAGCAGCTCCCTTCTTTCCTCCCTTCTTTGGCATGTGTATTAAACGAATGATTAC